GATTGTTGACGAGGTAAAGTGAACCGTGTCGTGCGCAAGTCTTTTGTGTAATGAACGTTACTTTCGTTAAAAAGGGGGCATACGGCCAGACAAACATTAAAGGCAGGCCAATCTTGGCCGTAAGGTACTTCAATTTTGAGGAGGCGTGCGGCCAATTTTGAAAGGCACGACGGCCATTGGCCGCGGTGCCGCGGCTTATGTCTAGCCCTGGGATATGTTATTCAATTTGTGGGCATCAGGGAGCCACTATGAATATGTGGAAGACTCCCGGCAGTCCTTAGCTGGAATGAAGTTTTGTCATGAGCTAAGTTCGAGATGCCAGGAAATCAAGTCACAATGTATTATACAAATGTTTTAATATATTGTAACACCAACAGCCCCAGACATCGCAGCGAGAGAAATGACACGGATTTAAAAACAACGCGCTCTTTTATACCAGCAAATAAGTCTATAGCATACAAATAATCACACCTGCGTCAACTTTGCACCACGAAACGCAGTGAGGTCTGACACCGGACAGTAAGGATCATACACCATGGGTAGTTTGACAATAACTAGAGGTTTGCGAGGATCGAACAGGAGTCACATACGCATGACACAGCCAAGGGCACACATGACAATCGGGGACACACAAGTACTCACAATAGCACATTCATACAGGAGCTATTAACAGGGCCTGCAAGCATGCCAGGATATGCAATGACCTCCGCTATGAGGAGCCATCTCGCCGGAGCTTCAGTATAAACTGTATATTAAACAGTATATATTTTTTTTTCTCTATCATAAGGGCACTTCATCATGTTTGTTAACTAAGAAGGGCACCCTAGAGGCCGCTTCGAGAGTCATTTCCATCAGAAAGGCACCTCAAGTTTATTAAATTCTCTCCCCTAGAAGGGTACTTCATAACGGCACCCTTTTTCATTGGAAGGGTTCCCATAGGTTCCACTTTGACCATTGTAAGGGCACCTTATAGGGCATTGCATCACATTCTCTCCCCTAGAAGGGCACTTCATAACGGCATCCTTTTCCATCAGAAGGGTTTCCATAGGTTCAGCTTAGACCATTGTAAGGGCACCTTATAGGGCATTGCATCACATTCTCTCCCCTAGAAGGGCACTTTATAACGGCATACTTTATCAGATTCTCTTGCTCTATAGGGCACATCATTTCAGATCGAGGTTTTTTCAGATAAATATACCTGAACCAGCCAAAACAGAAGACACTGGGAAGCTTTGTCAAGAAACCACAGTCGACTGAAGCTGAACTCCTTGAAACTACCTCCAAGCTTCTTGTGTGGACAGTGAAACAAGTCCTCTGGAACGATGGAAAGTCCATGCAACTGCCTTTCCAAATTTGAGCCTCCTGGCAAAGCATTACCTCTGTGTCCACCAGCCACCAGTCCATCCTCAGAAAGGGTTTTTAGTACAGGAGGCAACATTGTCATCTGCAAAAGGGCATCAGCCAAGCCTGAGACAGTGAACAGGCTAGTCTTCTTAGTAAAAAACCTGTAGTGTACATAAGCAAATGTGCGCTTCATTTATGTAACAGGAAGAAAGTGCAAATTATTTTAGACACTGTTCTAACCGAGATTTTTAAGAGAGAGAATAAAAGTAGATATTTCTTGCTGCCAGCAATGCAAACTTGGTTTGCATGGTTTTCTGTTTGCACTTTAAATATTTGCACTCTTAAACTGTTTTACACAATGTTTTGGACATTTTTATATTCCCTTGTTTATCTGAGCTATTGTACGTGCAGTCTTTGGGTACTTGAAAATCAATAACTTTTCAAAATTTCTAAGGGAATTTTGTATCTACAGTATATAGTTAATGTGCCATTTGTTGAAAATAAATCAACAAATAGGACAGAATCTTTAGAAACTGAAACAATGATATGAAATAATATCATGACAATTATCAAAATCGATCGATACAAAAAAAAATTGTGATAATATTTTTGTCAATACCGGCCAGCTCTAGGTTTGACCAATGGAATCTCTGATGCATTCAGACACTCCCCCTACCAAGCCACTCCTTGCTATTTGCCCTTATCCACCCAAGCAAAGAAGTTACAGTGGGATTCTGGGTTGGAGGCGTGTCCCTGTGGCCTGGCACACACGAAGAACTGGCGATCCAGGTTTGGCCCCGCCTTCTTCACCATCCTCAGCACGCAGGGTTCCTTGTGAGCCTTGCAAAGTGATGATTGCGGTGGCCTCAATTTGATTTAAGAGGCAGCGGAAAGCCGAGTGTTTAGAGTACTGGGTTATGTAACTTCCCACATTTTTCATAAAATTGTGCTTCTGATAAAAATGCTGATACCAGAGCAGTTGATTTGACCATTTTGGTTGGATAGTTTCACTGTGGCGGATGTATCCTTCTGTTATTCTTCAACATCCTTATTACCCTTCTCATCCTTATCAAAGCCAAAGGCGTGCATGACTGAGACTGGCACTCCATTAGGGTAGGGATGTGCTGTCCTGCCTTCATGACTTTGGCTGAAGGTGATGTGTTTATTGTCCTCCAGATGCCCAGTCCATAATGATGAGGGATATGCTGACCACCATAAGCAAGAATCCTACAGCTGCGAAACAGGCAGCCTGACGTCGAAAGTGGAGAATAAATGAGAAAACATCTTAGTGTGATTAATTACACACTGCAAGCAAGTGCTGCTCTTCCGGAACAGGATGTACCTGAATCTTTGGTCTGGAGTTCAATGGTTCCAGATTCTCAGGGACAGTTCTTATGTAGAATATTCCTGGAAGTATGAAGATCAGGGTGGGCGCTGATGTGGCTCCTGGAAAGAAAGAGACATGGAACTCTTTGGTCAGGTCAGGAGGGTCATCTCTCTGAATAAACATCCATCAGTTCATGAAAACCTTCCTAGATGTGTTTCAAGTTGGTATCTAGAAACCTGATGAAGAGCTAAAACTGACCAGTGACTCCAAAGATGTCTTTGATGTTGGGTACCAAGATAACCAGGATGTTGACAAGGACCAGCAGGCCGATTGCAATGCTGATGTGAAGCACCCAATTGAAATGTTTGGCATCAAAGAAGAGTTGGAGCAGGGCTCTCCGGATCTATGGAGAAGTTCAGTGAGGAGTATCAATACTGCAACCTTGTCCACACTTGCAATACCATACACAATCAAGAGGATGGAAGGGGCCTTACTGGGAAGATGATCACAGGCACTGAGAGGGTCACAGCCATGAGCACAGCCAAACGCACACACAGAATCAGGTGGTCTGCATTGTCTCCCTTGTAGGTATGGAGGAGCTCCGACTCCACCTTATCTATGCACAAAATCAACCAAACCAAGTTATTAGAAAGTCCAAAACCAGAGCATCTCTGTCATCTTGCAGGTTATCTAAAGCATCCATTACAATGTCATTTGCATAGGGCTACATAATGAGTTTATAATGCCTTTCCCTTCTGCTTACCATAGAAGGTGAGGTAGCCAAAGACAGCTGTGAGAAGGTACATGACAAACATTGCTAAGACGGAGATGTTAGCAACTCTCTGCATGCGCTTCTTCGTGGGCCTGGTGAAGAAAGGCAGAGATGGAGAAATGCAGAACTCCTTAGTGATTGTCAAATCTGTCAATGACGTGTACTTCTACATACAAAAATAACAGCAGCTTATTGACTAGCATTCATATATAAAAAATTCACAATTGTATAGGTTTTCATAGAAAACAAAAGTGAAACTGTTTAATGACGACAAAAATTAAAAGGGATTAATTTTTATACTAACTTGCCATGAGAAGCACTTCTAGAAGTGAGATTTTCTCTTTGCAGACGGTAGGGGACTTATTCAAAATAATTTTACTTTTTTTATTAGATATCCCAGATCTAGCCTTAGCTAAACTTCCCATGTCATCCCCAGCTCTTCAAATCCTATGAGTATTAAAATGAGGTCGGTTTGTTTGATGGACTCACTTCCAGAGTTCCGTGTAGATGGGCAGAACCACTGGCTGGCAGACAAAGGCAAATGACACAATTGGAATGGCGTACGCTGTCTGTAACCCAAACACATGCGGGTAAGGACAATACAGTAATTCAGTAGGTACTCCAGGACCTGCATGCATTTTGAAAGCATCGCAACATCCTAAACTGTCTGACCCTTGAGTTAAACGTGATGAGTTTGGCCTCGCACACATCGTCTTCACTGGTGCTGTTGACCATAACTGTTAAAGGTTGGGTCAGGTTGTGATCTTCTACAGGACATCCGACGTTAAACTTTTTGTAGATCACCTACAAAACAAGACACAAAAGTTGCCAGTGCTTACACAGGCCTTCCTTGGCTGTTGGTGTCGATAAAAGATAATGGTTCTTAATTTCCCCCTAATTCCCCCTTCCCCTACTTACGGAGATGAGGAAGAACACCATGCATATCAAGGAGAGTCCACTAGTGTACCCAAGGTATCCTGTAGTTTCATGAGGATAAAAACAACAGAAAAAAATATATAAATTAACATAATTGAGTTCAAGGAATGTTTTAATACCAGCTTGTCCGCAGTAACACTCAACACTGACACAGAAGATTAGGAGTTCCATGTGAGAAACAACCAATGTACAGTAGGGGGAGAAGAATCATGAACTCACCAAGCTGCCGCATGAGAGCAAGAGGCAGGATAAATAGGCTGGCAATGATGATCAGGTAATCCCCTTTCAGATACCACTCTCTGGGAACAAGACACAGTGCATCAGCAAAGGACCACTATATCCTAAATCATGCTGGACCACTCTCATTGGCTTTCATTGAAATGTCATAGCAGCATCGTAATAGTGTTCAGCTTGTAAGCAGGTTTGTTCCGTGTCACAATATACTGTAATTGTATGAGATCAAAGTTAGTTATAATCGGTTAGCTTGTTGGAAATACACTCGGTGACAAAATTAAAAACCCAAATGGACTGGTGGAAATTAAATGAATCTGCAAGTGGTGAAAGGTCATGTGACTGTATTGCAATGATTATAATATCAGATCAAACGGACAACAGAGTTGGCAGTATGGGCACACTTCTGGTCCCATGTCAGTAGGGTGTGGCACTCCCTAGGACTGGATGCATGCAGCGTTATGGTGTGGAAGGGAGTCATACAGCCGTTGTATCCTCTCCTGCGGTAAGTCGGCCTACAGCTGTTGTAACTGGCCTTTGAGATCCTGCAGATTGGCACTGGGTCTGAGTTGATGTCCGAGCTGATCCCACACATGTTCCATTGAGGAAAAATCAAGGGACCTTCCTGGCCACGGGAGGACCTCAACATAACATAGGCAGTTCATAGACACATGTGCTGTGTGTGGACAGGCGTTGTCTTTTTGAAAGACTGTCCATCAGTCCATGCTTCCTGGTTACAGCAGCACTCCAAACGCAGCTGTCTCTGGGCTGGTGTTAACGGCAGACTACGCATGGGACTGTGAACCCATAGTCTGGCTGATGTCAGTCATCGTGACACAGTGCAGGATGACAGAGTGTTGTAGAAAGTCCAATACCTGTGTCCAGATGGCAGACGCAGATGTCCTGGGGTTCTGTAATGCTTGGTGCACAATACGACGATCCTGCCTTGATGTGGTCTGTCTTGCGCAACCGGAATCTTCATGACGTGTGTGGGTGCCCTCATGTTCCCATTGCTTCCATTTCCATGTCCCACGGGCCGGGCAATTGCACAATACGACCACCCAGCCTCATTCAAACCCACAATGCAACACCTATCAAACTCCATAAAGTGCTGATGATGCTGTCTAATGGATCTACAAGGCATCCTCTGTGTCTGGTGACTAGACAAACCAGCTCCTTGCAAATCAAATCATTTACATACCCATTTATGGTCTGCACGTGTACCAAACGACATCCAAATCAGACCATTACTTCTGGATGTTTACCTTTTTTTTATCAGTGTAAATTAAACCAAGCAAAGTGAATAGGAAACAAAAAATAGCTCTGTAGGATTTTTGCAATTCAGGATTGTTAAAGGCAGACCTATTGCTTAATCACTACCATACACCCACTGGGCCAGACTGGTCCAGCACTCACCCGGAGTTGGATGGGGTTCCCAGAAAGGCTCCAATAACCAGTGGCAGCTCAGACTTCATAATGAAGAGGTAGCTGCAGATGGCTGAAGACAAAAAGACCAACAGCTTTGAAAACCATAACAGAAATGGACTCTCCTTTCAGTATATATACTCCTGGCCT